CCCCGCCCTACTCGAGGCCGCCCAGTTGTACATTTTGGCCGAACGGGGTCGTGCAGGCGGGCCTGGATCTACGTCATTGCAGGAGCTGGAGACCGAATTAGATGTGCTCACAGCCGAGCTGCCCCTGCTCGTTGCTCTCCCTGTTCTTCTGCGTACACTGCTGCCTCCTTATTTCAGCACAAACACCTCTCCTGAGCGCACCGTTGCCTCTATGCTAGGGTTGTCGGAGGACGAGTACCGCAGGGGTTGTCTGTCCGGCTTCGGGCGCGCGGAGGAATGCACTGTCGCTGTTGGTCAGCGCGTGCTCGACGTGCTCCGCAGAGAGCCTGTATCGGCGGACCCCTCTACCGCAGAGAAGATGAATACTCTGATCAAGTGGCTAGAGGGACAAGTTGCTGCCGCTGCCGCGGAGCATTGACTATCTGCTGGTAACCAGCGTAGTAAATATGAAGTCATATTTATGACAAGTCGTACGCACATCGTGTTATCCTTGGTGGCATATGGTTTGTTCTCGAGCCTGTTCGGTTTTCATCCTATTGGTTTGCAGCTCCGACCCTGCATATGCTGGTATGTACGCCGGTTATTGCTATTTCTAATTGAGGCGGGAAGGGCCACGTCTGCGCGTTTGCCGCTACGTTCCTTTATAAGTTCATGCCTAACTTATACGGTGTTACACGTCGAGGTTGCATACTTGCATGGTTACTTTCTTAGAGGTAGACCGTTGTATTATTGGTGCACCTTCTTGTTCACTACTGTACCGCAATGGCTAATTGTGATGTATACGGATGGCGTCGGCAGTGATAAGTACTCAAGTATTCAGGGCCGAGCTCGAGATACATGTCCACAGCACATTGTGCATGTCTTTAAATTCGCAAATCATACACGTCGGTACTGAGACCTCTAGATACATCTAGCCTCCGAATCGCGCCAGACGCCTCCTCCGAATCTCTTCCATGCTCAGCTGTTCCACCGGGGGCTGCTCAGCCTCTGACTCCGTCTCAAACCCGCCCTCCGATTCTGACGCAATAGAAGGCTGCCTCACCAATGCTGGAGCTGGCAAGGGCGGTAGCAGCGAAGGAGTGCTCGCGCCGGGGCTGGGTAGTGGCGGAGCCGCGCGCGGAGGGGGGGTCTCGGGCATCTGGAAGCCCTCTGGCATGCTCTCCAACGACGCCCTCAGCGCCGCCTGCAGCTCCGCGTCCTCGTCGTCGTACACACGGTGCTGACTCCGCGCCGACGGCGGCTGCGGCGGGGATATGCGCGGGGGAACCACGGGCGGCTCGTCGTCAAGGTCGTCGACTCTGCCGCCCTCGTCCGGCCCCCCGCGCTGCGCCTGCGCCATCGCCTCGCTCTCGGCGAGTGCGCGGCGGAAGGCCTCGTCCTCGTCCTCGTCCCCCTCCGGCGCGTGTCCGCGCTGGGCGCCGCGCGCCAGCTCCTCCTGATACCCCTCGCGCAGCGCCATCTCCTGCTCGCGCTGCATCCGCTGCAGGAACGCACGGTTGCGCGCCATGCTCGCCGCGATCGGGTCAACCTCCACGATCTCCTCGTCCTCGTCCTCGTCCTCGTCTTCCTCGATAAACATGGGCGGCGTGTGGCCTGCGTGCCGGCGCGTCGGCGTCCCGCCTGCGACGGGACGGGTTGACGACGGGATGGGCGGGGGAATGACGGGGGCGGGATCGTGTGAGAAGCTGTGTGCACTGCCATACGTACCGCTTAGTAGCGATGCCTGTAGTGCGGCCTGCAGCTCCATGTCCTCGTCTTCGAAGCCTTCAGGAGCGAGGGCAGGTGCACGGGAGGCGCCCTCTGGCGGCGGTGTCCGTGTGGTGGAGAGGTATGCGCCAGGGCGCGAGGACGGTTCGGAAATGGCAGCAGCAAGGTCGTCTGCTTGCGAGCGCGGGAGGGAAATGGGTTCATTTGGATTCTCCTGAACAATTGCAAATACCGAGTAGCCTGCAGACGCGCATATATCGTTATGGTGCAAGAGAACCCAATCTAATCGGAATACCGACCTTCAGCCTCGGCCTGCTGCAGGACCATGCCCAGATAGAGTTTGCTGATCCATTCTGGTGCCTGGAGGAACGAATTGAGGTTGAACCAGTGGCTCATGCCTTGGTCGGCATCTATGGATGGATTTGACGAAAGTGCTCCGAAGCGTCGGAGGGTGAACCAATGCTGTTGAAGATTCAGGATGAAGGCTATCTGTGTGCTGTGATTGGGTAGAAGCGCTTCTGCACGACGGCTGTGGCAAGCGGGCGGAAAACTTACTGTGGGTGGTCCTGGTATGGGCGCATGGTTTCACTTCGCCATCGCACCAGGCTGTATCGTGCACGATAATGTACATAATCGAGTCAGTAAAGCACACGAGATTCAGATCGATACGATGCAGACGTACGTAAGTCCCCAGACCTGAAGTGCCCGCTCGAGGACTTGCACCGAGAAGAACCCTGATGGGTCGTTGCTTATTATGAGTGCTCCACCTCACGAGCGTGGTTGTGCACACCTGTGTCGTCCATGTTGGCGCTATCGTGGTCATGGCTCCGCTCCTCGTACTCTGCCTCCTGCTCGTCCAGAGATCGAGCAATGGCGGATAGATCGGGTGCAGTAAACTGATGGTGACCTCAGCATATATCGACAGTATGTCGAAAGACATACTGACATAGTTTCCCTCTGGAATCGCGGCAGCTAGGTTTAGCACCATCCAGCAGAAAGATGCTTGTGCTCACGTAGTAGAGAGTTCAGTGCGTGTTGGGCGCACAGCATCGATCCCGGTTCTTGTTTTTCATGATATATGAGGGATATCAGGTCGTCGATGGTCGCCATGCTGTGGTCGCGATGGATGTGTGCAGAGTTGGACAGCCGCAATGCTTTATATGTGTGCGGCGTGCGCAGTGTGGCACTGACGCGTCGCGAACGCGTAATTTGGGTCTTGCGGTTTTCGAAGTCCCGCCTGCGCGCGTGTCTTACGTAAGCGAGGCCGAGTCGGGAGTGAGTCGGGGTCTCGAGCGAGCGCGCCTCCTCAAAGTCCATTATTTGTAGGTCCATCGCAGCCGTCTGCCTAACAACTCCTCGACATGACTCGCACTCGTCCTCTTAGACTTCTCCAGGGTGCAGCTGTGGCATTGCTGTCTGCGACCGCACTCGCTCAGGACGATGCTTTCGACTGTCATATCACGCATGACGGCCTCCAGTATGACCTGACCACGCTCGCTGGCGTGCACCTGGTCAAGCGCGATTGGGAAACCCCACCAAGCACCATGATTGAATCCGTCCGGTTCAGCCTGTGTTCAGACCTGGAGCCACTGGAGGACGTCTCTGACAGGGACCAGGTTCGTGCCCTCTGCGCCGCTCTCGACGCAGCCGTGAAGGTCGTGGCTCATGGACGTCTGCATCCGTTCTCACTCAGTGTCCTTCAGGAACACGAGCATGCCTGACCAAGACCAACCGCAAAAGTGACGAAGACGACCGAATAATGTCTGTGATACAGCTTGCGACGTCATCTGCGTCCAACGTCCAATACTCCGCCCTTTCATGTGCGTCCTCCTTCCGCTGCGGCTGCCTCTCGTATCAGACTCACCCTAGTGTGTGCTAGCTCCCAAGGGTCTCTCTGTGTCGTTCAGAGGTCCTTCCTATCCACCCTCAGCGGATGACGACCCCACGCCTCAATCGTTCAATTTGAGATTGCTGTGTAGCCCAGACAGCTCAGAACCATCGTTCTACTCGTACGACGGATCAGAAATGTGGGTGGAATGGAGTTCCCCGTCGGGTTGTGGGGGTGCCGGAGATGGGAGTGGGGATGAACCAACACCAGATGGAGATATGGAGAAACCAAAAGGCAGTGGAAAGTCTGTCGGTTCGGGTGTTGGCTATTTCTTCCTGCTGTGAGTCCTTCGGAATTGAGAGGCTCTGACGATGAGATTGAATTGGTAACCGGTAGGTTGTTCCTGGCGTTAGCCGCCTACTTTGGGCTGGGAGCCTACTACAACTACTCGACGTATGGGGCGTCCGGCATGGACCTCATCCCGTGCGTATTCCTGATTCATGTGGCCGGAGTGGACCCTAAAGCTGATTTTGTGTGTGGCGCGAGCAGACATCGTGACTTCTGGCGAGAAGTGCCCTACATGCTGAGTGACGTTATCGCACACTTATGCTCCGCAGTCCGGCCAAGACAAAGTGCTGGTCGTGGAGGCTACATTGCTGTATAGTCGTGCGCGGGGCAGCGCACAGAGTGCAATGGACCTGCTTGTCTGAGGCGTTCTCCGTATGAATCCGTACTGTACCATGCAGAAGGTAATACTATTTCTATGTAATCTGGATGAGTATACCCATCAGCCGTCGCATTTGGCATGAAGTCTCCGCGTTACGAAAGCCTTTCTGGATGTGGCGTACAACCTCCGCGAATGCCGTGATGGAGTGCGGCCCGCCAGGGTCTGTTTCTCATGTAAGACATGGATCGCAAGTCCAAGTCCCTCGCCGACGCCTTGCACAGCGAGCTGGGCTGCGTGAGCGATGCGAGTGGGGTTGTCAAGGAGCGGCGAGCGCGTTGTGTGCCTTACGTATGCTGTCTCAAGCGGCGGAGGAAGCGAGGTCGAGTCGAGTCGAGGGTCTAATCAACTCTCCGACGGGAACCGAGTGTTCTCTCGTTGACTCAAATGGCCCCAATTCGTCTAATCCCAATATTCACCTTTTGTCCTCCCCCCTCGAGTCACCTCCCTGCCGCTCTCACAGGGGTCCTGGTCCCGCACACACAAAATGCCCAGACACGGCGCATATGTCGTCTTCGTTGGGACGCTGCCGGGCGTGTATGATTCATGGTAAGTGGCCCATCACCGTGCTGCGCGTAGCCCGCAGTCGTTCGACGTGGCCG